CTGGGAGTTGAAGTCCACCCATCCTCAAGTCGCCAAGGTTGAGGAACCCTGCTCTAATTCAGTCAGCCTCCAGCCAGCCATGATCTTTCCCAGGATATGTCAGTCTGTTCCCCTGAGCCTGGTTTTCCATTATGCACAAGAGACACTCACGAAAAATGCTATATCTTAACTAGATGCTTTGGATTCCCCTCTTATTTCCTCTAAACTGGTGCCCTCCAAAAGTGTAGGACTCCAGTCTCACGTGGTTCCCTCGCTCTTATATCCCTGGTCTGTGTGAATCGTTCCGTTCTGACATTTTTTTAAACAGAGGTATTTATAAAACAGCAGATGATAGATGTAATTTGGAAAAAAAGCATGACTTCCAAAGTGCAGGTGTCATCTTAAAAGAAAGGAAGCCTTTATTCAGGGTTATTTTTCGTTTAAGCGAATTTAGATTTAATTAATAAGATCCATTCACTATATGATAAGTGACAGCCCTCATGGTTAGTGAATGCACGAAGAAAGGATGACAAAGATTTGGAGAGCACTGAGAGCTAAAAATTCAGAGGTGTGGAGGGGAGGGGAGTTTCTGAAATTCATATTTTAAATTGAATTAACCAGTTCACAATTTCATGCAGCTCTACAAACCTCTGTGCTAGCCAGCTATATGGAGATGCAAGGAGCTGTATAAAACCTGATGCCCCCCAAAATCCAGTCTTTCTGCCCCTTTGCATGTCACAGCCCAGGCTTCTGAGATTTTACGAGGCATGTCTGCCAGCTTTCCTCTGAAAATGGTACTTATGCATACCATAAGAACATAAGCTTGTTTTTCGTTTTAAGAAGGAAGATGAAATAAATGGATGGCAATGAAAAACGTGTCCCTGTGTGTTCTCGTGCTGCTTTTCCACCTTTTAAAATGGCATAAGAGCAGGCTTTTTCCCATCCTGCATTTTCTCCTTTCACTGTATAGCCAGGCTGAGATATCTCCATCTGTTGCATTTCTAATTATCATGCCTTGATAAATGGCAAACACAAGGGGACAATGCTCTCCTAGAAAAAAGTGGGACAGCACTCAATGAGGGGTGATGGCAGTGCTAAAAAACAGGTACAACTTCGTATAATTATGAAGGCAGCTAACTGCTAGACCGTGAGACTAAAACTTAAAACAATTGCCATTAAATAATAATCATAACCACCGCCACCATAATTATCATAATGTATTTGTATTGCACTCTGGACCTTTCAAGAGCGTTCCACATCTCTGAGTAGGTAGAATGAATTTAAAAATGCATTGGGAAACCCACATTGTTCCTATGTGGTTTCATGAGCTTGGCTTCATGTAGCATGCTCGGTCTGCTTAATTTGCACAATACAATGAACTAATAATCCAGTTCCCATATCATGCAAAGCCACAATAAAACTATCAAAACTTATCACTAACCAAGCTTAGTGTTTTATGATAATGCAGCTGCTGCTGGACTTAGTTAAGTGTATTGTATGAAAAGAGCCTTAGTATAATCTACAGCGCTGTGTGCACTTTTTCCAGGAGCAAGATTCACTGGAGCTACAGAATAAGCATGCCTGGGATTCTGCTCAGCTATAACTCGCAAAGACAGGGGCTATACTTTAATGTAGAAAACAATTAGAACCATAGCTAAAAATGCTAAAATGGACAACGACAGGCATCAGTTCATATCCTGCAAAGGATTTAATGCACACAATCAGTGTTGATTTTATTGGTTAAACTATTACTTGATTATGTGCTATCAAGTCACTTTTGACTCCAAGGAACCACATAGATTTTCTCCATGACGATCCATCCCTAACCTGGTCTTTCAGATTCTCCAACTGTGCATTCCTTGCCAGTGTAACTGAGTCCATCCACCTGGCTGCTGGTCTATTCCACCTGCCCCACACAGGATATAGAGGACCACAGACAGTTCTTCTCCTACCTTGAGAGATGACTAACCCAAGATTACCCATCAAATTCGTTAAAAGTCCATCACATTTGCCTATAAACTATAGAAGACCAAGTAGCTACACAGCTGCCTGATTCAAAGCATGTTGCTCAGCTACCATTCCCAGCACCCTTAGCCAGCATGATCAATGGTAAATGCTGTGAATACAGATCAGGACCACATGGAGGACCACAGGTTCTCTATCCTTGATGTAAAGCAAAATATGCTAGTCAAAAAGAGTGCACTGGAAATGATTCTCTCTGTTACCAAACCCAGCTAGATGGGCCATGCTGGACAGTGGCAGCTAAGAACATTGGTTTTGGATCTGGATGACCCACATTGAAATCCATGCTTAGTTGTGAACTCACTGCTTCTCTCCACCCTTTCCCACCTCTCCTGAACTGCAGTGAATGATTATATTGGCCTTTATTATGCAGCTCTCATCAACTGATTGATCAATCATGTGCCATCAAATCAATGTCTACATTGAGCCACCAACATAGATCTTTTCCAAGATGAATCCATCTTTCATAAGGATTACTACATGGCTATGTTCACATAACATGCTTAATCAGGTCACCATCATTCACACAACTTGCTAAATTTGGATAGTTTTAATCTTGGTTCACACTAAGATTGCTACTGAAATTGCAGGTACAATATATTAGCATCTGGAGACGTTAACACAAATGAGACATCTGGAGGACACTAGGCAGACAAAGGCTGAGCTTTGGGAACAGATGACAGCTGAGTGGTTGAACATCTGCTTTGTGTTTAGAATATCCTTAGTTATTCACCAGTGTCTTCAATTAAAAGTATTGGGGAGTCTTTTGCTGGAGTTTTCCCAGCTGTAGAGATTTCCTTCTCATGAAAAGGAGCTATGGAGCTATTTGCACCAATGGGTCTTACTCAGTGGCCTGGTCTTCACAAAATGCTAAACTGGACTATTAGAGGGTTTGGTGCATTGTGAAAAATTATAAGAGTCTACTGATTCAGTAACTCCCAGGGTGTTAGATTTAATGCAGAACAGGCACAGTACAGATCATGTGCAGGGTTAAATTATCCACACTCAAACAGTTGTGAAAACCCAGCCAATTTTCCAATTATCTGCTTTGGCTTATCTAATCCTCCAAGAAAAAGAGCAGAAGAAAAAGTAACCTTTTCTTGTACAGAACGTATTGCTAAAGCCTCGCAGCTCAGAGTGCATCTCCCAGACATCGATAGGCTACGATGGCCAAGACACATCTACTATTGCCTGCTTGATCAGCAGAAAAGGGTTGGTGATGTAATGAAATCCTGCCAATATTCTTCTCATGCCAAGTGCTCATGCAGCATTAGGCATTTTCTGCAGAAAAGGGGTGGGAAGTTTGTAATTCCAGAATGGAGACTTTCAGCCCAGGTAGGGTGGCTGTGTGTCTCCTGAAACCCTGGCAAGGGGTTATGCATGTTAGAAAAATAGAGCCTGTGACTGAATTCATGCAACGTGGTTAACTGATTACCGAATTAAGATGTTTGGGGTATACATAATACACTGAATCGACTAATTAGTTAAATATAGAACATGCTATGCCACACACAGAAACACAAAAACTAACCAAGCATAGCATTAGTCAAGGGTAGCATGTTCTGCAAGGCACCTGCTAAGTCTTTAACTGACCTGGTTAAATGTATATAGCAGGGTGAACACAGCCTGTACAAAACATAATATGTCCCAAACCAATAGATTTTTGTGCATAAATTCCTGTATCCATTCCCAGCCATCTAATAAAAGGATCAAGTACGTTAGAGGGGGAAGATCCCTTTTAAGGCTCTAGAAGACTGCTGTCAGGAAATACAAAACAGTTTACAAAACCAGAAACAGGATGAGGGCCCTCCCTAACAAAGATGTCCTCAATCTCAGGGACAAAACGTCAGGAAAACAACCTGAAAGGAAAAACATCAGCTTGAGCTTATCAGCTTTAACTTTTCAGTTAAACCAGCCCAAAGCAAAGCCAAAGAAAAAATGCAAAAATAGAAATCTAGCATGCTCCACCAGTGAATGTTACCGTTGGACAGAGGACGGGTTCATGCTCCTGAGGCCAAGGGTTCCAATTTGACTGAACTGTCTTGGAATTGAGTCTGCTAAATGAGTTTTTGTGTAGCCCTACTTCTTATTTTCTTCACATGCATAGCCAAGAAGATGATCTAAGAGGAGGTATAAGAGAGGATGGAGAATTTTCCTCCCCTTGCAGCACGTATATCCCATGAACTACTCACTCTAATGCTTTCTCCATGGAAATGCAGGGTATCGCCACGGATCGTTCAATCTACTTCTGGAAGACTGGGCATAGTCTTCTTCTCAACTCTGCGCTTACAGGAGCAGCCACCTGGAAGACCTCGGATGCTGGCACTGCCCCATCATCCAGAGCAACCTACAGCTGACAGTGGCAGTATCCTTTTCGAAGTCTGACAGGTGGGACACACACCTACCTGCAGGGTATTTACAGGGAAAGAGGTGATGGGCGGGAAGTCCATGATCTGTAGGTCGTGAACGTGGCCATTCATGACCACGGCAGGTAGGTAGACACGGCGGGCCTTGGTGGGGACACAGACCTCGCTGAACTCGTTGTACAGGAACTGGCGGACAATGGCACTCTTCCCGACCCCTTGAGCACCCAGCACGGCAATCTTGAAAGTTGTCACCATGCCTCCCGGCCGCAACCCCCGTGCACGACGTGGTGATCAGCTCCTTGGCGCAGTCCGCTGCCTTTGCACTGCCAGGAAGGCCCCTGGGCTGCATATTCTGGCAGCTGTGGATTCAGCCACAGTCAGCAACCATTTCCTCACTGGCACGGCCTGTCACTGGAAGAGCAAAAGAAATCTCATCAATCTAGAGAAGCTAAGAAAAGTCCTGCGAGAGCAGAGCAAGGGTCCATCCCGCCTGGTTTCCTGTCCCTCACAACAGTCGACCAGATACCTACAAGCAAAATATGAAGGTAGCATCTCTTCCCTATCATTTCCCCCAGCAACTGCAACCTAGTGGTAGACAGCCCCTAGTGATGGAGGCTTCAAATTTCCTTTGTAACTATTATGTAACGGCGGATCTCTTTTTCTCCTTGACTTTGTTAAACTCTCTAAGCTCGAATCCTGCGCCACACGGTGCGATAGGCTTGATTTTTATCATATATGAATATTTTCAAGCTGCCACAAACATCAGCATATCAAACGTTAAAAGAAATAAACAGATCATGGCTCCTTCCCAACTAAACTCAAAAATCCTTAGTCATCTCAAATGTCTGTATGGTTCTTCTAGGGTTCTGACCAGCTTCACATATTGCATGACACTATGGTTATCCTAACCATAATTTTAAATAAAATTCCATTTGGTTGGGTTTGCATAACATACCAAACCATTAATCATGGCTGACAGATTATTGTGGCTGCATTCACACAACATGCTAATCCACAAATAGATAAACCATGTGGGCACAATGGTGGGCAACCTGGGGCCTCAGTCCCAAACAGCCCTTTTGTATTCTCAGAAACCTTTCTGGTTATAATTGCTGAAAACTGGCAGCAGATTTCCTAGATATTTTGAATTGGAACATGCAGGGAAAGTGTACTGTAGTAGTTCTGTAGTAGTTCTGTAGTATTTCCCCTGCAATAGCTGTAACATAGTTAAGAAACAAAACCCCTAAAACATTCCCCAAAACCTAGCACTGCCCATCTGTAAGATATGGACCAGTGTTTCTCAACTGATCTATATGCTGGCTGGGGAATTCTGGGAGTTGGTCCACACATCTTCAAGTTGCCAAGGTTGAAAAACAGTGATATAGACCTTTTGCCTTTTGTAGCCTTCAGCGCCCCACAATGTTACGGGCAGCCCTTGGTTACCACCAAAATATTGCCTACTCCCATTTTCACAAGATATGAACATTTTGTGGATTTTGTTTTGTTATTTTTATTTGGTGTGTCATTACTTGATGTGTTATTTTTACTTGATCCAGTTGTGTAAGCCACCTAGAGTCATTTTGTGATATACGTGGCATATAAATTGATAAATAAATAAATATGTTCTAGAAAGGGAAACACGTTTCTCTTGCATACAGCCTGAACAGTTGTTGGTTAGTTTCAAATGATATCTTAGAAAAAAAGCATGGTTGGAGTGGTTCCTCCCCCCCACTTTTTTTCCCTTGGAAAATACCCATACCTTTGAACAGTGAAAATCAGGTAGAAATCACACAGTTGATACTTCCCTTCCCTGCATCTTGAAGGTCAACTTTACCTGTGGAATATCTTATCTGTTTTTCCAGTGCATAAGAGTGCAAGAGCGTTAGCAAGGGAAGAAACTTTTCCCTTGCTCTCCCCTACTTTATACCTAGTGATGGCTTGATTCTTCAATCAAGTCAAGATGAAGTTAATTAAACTCTGTTATGTCACTGCTGTGTGTGTCTAATGTAATCTGTTTGCACTAATCTTTCCAACATAATTAAGCCATGCGGTGTGTTATTTGAGGAAGCCGCTAGAATAATCTCTCCAATCTCCCCATCACTCCACCATAAATCCAGCATCCTTGATTCCTCGGCAGCCAGCCAGGAACACACACTGAAGTTCTTTTCAGCTGTAACCCCCTCTCCCTTTAATCAACTCATGGCCACTAGAGTGAATAGTCAATAAAATAAAATAAAATAAAATTTCTCCTATGCTTCCTGCCCTTGTTGTACATCAGCCTTTCCTTACGAGACGCCTTCCTGACAAGTTGGGATAGCAATTCCCAGGATTCCCCAGCAACCTAGCTCTTGGCTAAGAATTCTGGGAGCTGCAGTCCCAATGCATCTATTTGGAAAAGTGCCCATTTGCCCAGGGAAAAGACAAAGGTCAGCTGAGATGGCAGAGAACTTCCTCACCCAACCGTCTTCTGGTAAATGGCATGTGGTGACTTGTTATGGCTACCATGAAAGCCATTTTGTCAGCATGCCGCAGTATGTCTTCAACACAGGTAGTCCCCTGTTTAAGAACGTGTTCCGTTCCCAGGGTCTGTCCTTAAGTTGAATTTGTATGTAAGCCAGAACAATATGGTCTAATACTATATAAGTAGTATTGTGTAATTAACTTGAACCACTGTGTATTTAACTCAAATCATTGTGTATTTAACTCATATTTTGCTACAATAGGCTCCATTCTTAACTATGGGTCATCCATAAACCGGGCATTCTTAACCCAGGGATTACCTATATTTCACATTGACTCCAAAAGTAGGGGAAACTCAGCTATCCCCAACTTGTGGTAACTTCCAGATGTGTAGCCTTTACTGAAAGAATTCTCCGAAATGGCCTACTGGCTGGAAAAATCTGGGGGTTCCTGCATCCTTGTTCCCTGTGTCAACAGGGCCTTCTCTGTGGTAGCACCTTGCCAGAGGAATGCTGTTTCACATGAGGTTTAATCAAGATTTGATTATTTAAAAAGGCTACATACTTTCCACATGTTCCATATTCCACACATATCCATACTTATGGCTGCATTCACCTAACATACTTGAAGCTGGTTACTAAATTAACTCTTTTTCTGGATTCATAAAACACAACAAATCATAAATGAAGCAAATAGACTGAATTCATACATGCTAAGCCAGGGGAAAAAAAACTTAGTTTAGCTTGTGGAGTGAACACAACATATACCTATTTCATCCTTGTACATCACCGTATGCTCTCAAAAGATAATAATTACTCATGTGTTTGCATTTTCTTCTTTCTCCTCTCCCAATGAATCTGAAAGCAGAGGGTTGCAAGTAAAAAATCTTAGTATCGCTCAAACACAGAGCTATTGCTCTTCTTCCCTTCTCACAACTACTAGACGAGTAAGCAATATTTCAAAATTTTTGACATGCTGCTGTTCTTTGGCAGCACCCAAGCAAAAGCCAGTTGCAGATTAAATATATCATTTCACGTCCTGACTGACCAGTGCTGTACTCAGCAACCCCAATATTGTTTCACAAAGGCTTGCTCTTTAATTTTTAATCCCACTTCTTATCTTTTTCTATTGCTTTTATGGAAAAAGGAAGACTAAGAACAGGGCAAATTAGCACTTTTTAGCGTTATTTAGCCTAATTTTAATAGAATTAGAATAAACTGCATCGTAGAGCAGAATTAGGCTAGGTGGTGTTTTCCATGTCTTTTAGACTACAACTCCCACAATTCCTTGTAGTTGGGTCTGCTGGCTGGGTCTGACTGAGCTGAAATCCAAAACCTTTCAATGGCATCAGGAATAGATTGTGGGTGGACAATTTCCAGCCTATCTTGCCCACCACAGAATCACGGATATGGAAGTGACCATTTAGGCCACTGAGTCCTATCACCCGGCCAGTGCAGGAATCCAGATTAAAGCACCCTCAACAAATGTTTTGCCATGGAAATGGGACTCCCCTGATCACTGGGTTATTCATTCCATTACTAGACTGCTCTTATGATTAGGAAGTTTTTCCTAACATCCAGCTAGAATTTGCTTTCCTATGGCTTGCAGTCATAATTCCCTGTCCTGTAAGAAGGTGATGTTAAAGAAAAAGTTCTGGATTTTTTATGCATAATGCCACTTTATAACTCCTCTCAGTCCACAAGAGGGTCAAAAAAGTCAAAATGGTGAAGCTCAGACCCTTTTTGTACATGCATAGCATGCACAACACACGTAAAAGAGGGGCAGGGTTTCAATCACATGGTCATGGCTGCCATCTTGACTTTTTTAACCCCCTCAACACCCCCTCCCCCCAGCGCACAGATGCCCTTGCTCTCAGCCACTTTTTCTCAAGGCTAAAGAACTCTATTCTTTCCATTTTTCCTCTTGGGAGAATTTCAGTTGCCCCACCACTTGCTCTGCCCTTCTTCACGTGTCCCACTTTGACTCAGTCCTTCGTAAACAGTGGTACACGGAACTGGACCAATACTTAAAATGGGATCTGATGAAAAATCATACTTACAACTGCTATAATTTTTAATTTTCTAAAAGAGATCATGCAGCCATTCAAAACAGATCTTTCTGAGTTGTATTGGAGGGACTGCAATCCAACTGGAACGTACAGTATTACCATATCTAGTAGCCCACTTGGTTATCCATTTTTGCTGAATGTTTGAAGACATTTTATTCATTCATTCATTCATTCATTCATTCATTCATTCATTCATTCATTCATTCATTCATTCATTCATTCATTCATTCATTCATTCATTCATTCATTCATTCATTCATTCATTCATTCATTCATTCATTCATTCATTCATTCATACAATTTCTATGGCGGCTCATCTCAAACAAGTGACTCTGGGTGGCGAACATTCTGCCACAACTCTTGGCAATTAATTCTAGTGTAGTTTTATTTGGAATATTCCCCCAGACTTGTACAACTTTGGAACGTAAGTAATTAATTCAGTTGTTTTTATTAGGTGCCAGTTTTACAATAGCAATAGCTTTAGCAGATCCTGCACTGAGTAGGAGACTTTTGTGGTTCCTGCCAACTCTGTCATTTTATGTCAGTGTTTCTCAACCATGGCAACTTGAAGATGTGTGGACTTCAACTCCCAGAATTCCCCAGCCAGCATGTTA